TCATTATTTTGTCTTTACTTGCCTTCATCAAGTCGATCAGCATTTATAAGAGCCTCCGCTAGGTTACATTGGTAATCAGTGGACTCAGGATACCTTTCAACGACTTTCTCACAATACTCCACAGAATCTATAGCTCCGGACTTGAAAAAAGGTATTCATTTAAAAAACAACATTTAATGAAAAAACCAAGAGTCAAATATGAAACAGTAAGAAATATCGAAAAATCTTAATTTATTCTCACTTTTGCTTTGCAGTGGCATAGATTTACTTTAGCCTGTAGAATATATTCCTGATTTTTTGATTCATAAGAAATTATTTTTTCCGCTTCTTTGATGCATTCATCATACCTTCCTGCCTCAGAAGCCTCTTGAGCACCTTTAATGGCCTTTGCTAGATTTTTTACTCGTTTGTAATGCTCAAGACAAGGCTTATCATCCTGATCCAGGCGCAGACATTCACGAATTTCCTCCAATGACTGCACGGCAAGTCCGAACTCGTACATTAAAATAGACAAATGCAAAAGTCCTGCACGATTATCGTTAGTTAGATGAGCACCATTCCGAAGATCTTGTATACCCTAAAGTTAAAAAAAGCGAAGTAAGACTTGAAAGCAACTAAGCCATCAGCGTATGATAAAAATACTAACTTTTTGAATTTCTTGCAGATTAAGGTAACACGTGCCGCGCATTTCGCGTAGTTCTTGACTTAGAGATACTGATTCTATAAGTGAATCCAAGAGGGAAATCGCCTCAGAATATTTACGACCCGAAATTAGTCTACTGGTTTCTTCTTTTTTATCGCGTAGACTTATTACCAGATTAATCTTGGATTCGGCCTCAGGGTCATGAGAAGTCTGGAAATGTGCTTAATAGTGGGACATACAAGGAAAGAATAGTCTGAAATAGAATCCGAAAATCGCCCCATTTTTAGGTAGATAGAGGCGCGCTGTTTCACAGCCTAATTTCAGAAGAAACTAAGCGCAAAAAATATTTACTGGAATATAGCCCGGATTAAGCTCAAGTGTCTTTTCTAAATCCGGCAATGCCATTTTGGTCTTCCCCATAGCAAGATAAGCAGTAGCTCTTCTATAATAAGCAATAAAATTCTTTGAATCAGCATCTAGGGTTGTTGGATGATCAAGTAGACTAACCCACGGCTTGCGAATAAAGAGAAAGGGCATCCATTAGCTGCCCAGAAGCCAATAGTTTTGTTCCTTTTTCCAGCACATGCTCAATGTCAACGTTAGCACTGATTAACTCTGTAAAGCATGACAACGATGTTAAGAGATTTAGCCATATATAGAGATGTACACAAAAATGAGAAATTTTACCTGGTATATAAACAGATATTATTGCCGAAAAGTAAACAAATATACTCCTAAGATAAGCATGCCTTAGTGGCGTCATTGGACCTAAGGGAAACGTAATTTAGTGTGTGTACTCCTGATTGGTCAATTCAAAGGCCGTGAAACAGGAGAGAGTGGTAATAGTTGGCGAAATGAAGTCATGGAAATATAAGACGTTTAACCTTAGGTAAAATATGAAGAGTTTTAATAAGATTATAAAACGATCATGAAATTATTAAATGCAGAATTTGTGATAAGTATTTTGA